TATTATTATATCTTTAATTTTTATTTGTTTTATATTATATTCATAGTTTAATACCTATAATCCCGTGAATAAGACAATAATTCGAGGTTGTCATTGAACAAATTAAATACGCATTCTTTTCATTATGCTGTCGGGTATCAGTTTTCTTTTCTCTTTTGATTATATAAATAAATCAGTACAAAATAAATATGTACTTTTAAAATATCGTACCAATTTTATAGGAAATCATCAGTTTTTAAGTGTTTATTATTAAATGATAAGATCTACACTCTATTCATAAAAGTTATTTACATATTAATATTATCAAATACTGCAATTGGCCAGCTTTCAGTAAGTTTTGATTATTTTTTGAGCATATATTCTTTATTTAAATGGCAATGGCAATTTTATATAAATCTTGTGCATGTTTACCTTACCAGAGAAAATTTTTTAAAAGCCTGGAACGTTAGTAATTTAAAGCGGAATGTTGATGAGATTTAAAGTTTGATCTTAAGAGTTACATCAGTAGCAAAATCATATATTTTTCCAAGTAAAATTATGAATGTTTAATTAGGGATCCCTAAATTATGCAAACATAAAAAACATATTTAAATTCTATATAACTGAACACTTATTTTTGTTCAGTGCAATCTATCGCTGGCACCGCAAAACTTTTGTATGTGGTTTTTGTGTATTCCGTTCTAATAAGTCGCCAGCTATCTAACAATTCAAATCTAAGAAAATTTCAAAATTCAATTTGCACACGGAAGAGGGGGGGGGCGGCACCGGGGCACAACAACAAAGGCGAGCTTCAGCTCACCTCATCTCCATCTCGGGGAAGTCCCTTGCCTTCCTCTAACCCCAAAAACCTGGGAAGCCCCACGAACAAATGAGAAAACCCAACCTCATTGCAGGCGAACCTCTCAGAGCGACAGGCAAGTGAACAAACATTTTTGAAAACTTGCCTGAATAGATTATTAGGAATTATCAAAACTTAATTTAGCTTAAGAGAGCTCAGCATAAAAGGGGGCCAAGCGGGCAGATGCGGGTGGTGCTAATGAATCACCAAATGGGTGGGTGAGGCACTGAATCACGACCAGGTGACAAACAACTGGCGCGCTGCAGTGCCACTTGAAAGGCGGCTTTTGAAGTGGTTTTGTTGTCGCAGAAACTTTTGACTTGAAAGAGGCGACCTGGCCAGGCAAGCCCATTGATCTTGCACCGTCTTTGTTGTGGACTCTAATAAATCTGGGACTAAGCGGCTTAGTTGTTGGCTCCTTAGGGCACTTAAGAGTTTAGTAAAAACGATTTAAGACCCAAAACAGCAGTTACATCAATTGCACCAAAAAGCTATCAAATTACATATGAAATTAACAATTAAGAAGCTTGTTTAAAGATGTTGTTTTAAAGTACCGATTCCATCTTTTAAATCTCAATTTCTCACTTATTTCTCGCTGATTTCCTGTCGCCATTATTGCACAGTGTGCAGTGGGTTGTGGGCCTTGGATCGATCTAATGAGCCTGCCCAGCTGGCGGCCCGGTGTGCCATCTCCAGCTGGGTAATCGGCTTCAATTAAATCAAGCCAAACGACACCGGCAATTGGAGCGTTCCAGGCTCAATTCTTTTGTGTCCCAGCGGACACGAGGCTGGCAGCTAAATAGAGCGACAGTGGGAGCCATGACGACACCGGGTGGCCAGGAGGATGCCCTTGTCCCTTCACTCAATCTGGTGTTAATAACGTGGCGGAAAATTCACGAACTGCGGAAGGGAGCTGCAGACTGGAAGGAAAAGTAGCAGCAGGAAAGAATACTTGAGTTACCTTTACCTTGCCCTTGTCCTCGTTCTCAAAGTCGATAATCGCCGGGGCAAACGGATGTCCAATTAGTTGTATGCCAGCTTCCGGCTCTGGCTCTGGCTCTGGCTCCGGTTCTCACTCTCTTCCTGCGGAGATGAACCTTCTGCTGCTCCTGGTCCTGCCACCCGCTGGCTATTCTTGGTCAGGCATCCGCCAGCCTGTCAATTGCAGCGACCAGATTCGTTTGGAGGCGCTTCTGCGCCCGTTGCCATTCTACATTGTTGTCCGTGGAACGCCGATGGCATAATTTTCGGATTTACTTTGCCAGTCAATTGGCAGCAATTTGCATAGATTGATGAGCCCCGAAAGCATCACGTCACGCATCGCATCGCATCGCATCGCACATACATATGCCGGATTTATGGGACTTATGGCCTCGTGCGCCTTATCCCCGGTTTATCCTGTTGGCCTAATCAATGCTGATTTGTGCCCCTGAAATCCTTTTTTTTGCGAATTTTTTTTTTGAAGCGGTGACGCGCTTATCGCGGCGAAAAAGAATTGAATAAAGGATTTACGGGCCTAAATTGAGGCACAACTTGAGCCATGTCAAATGCCAGTGTTTCAAGGTGAGTGCACTCGCAAAAAATATCAGGACCACAAAACTTACAAATAAGTAAGAAAATTAAGGAAAGCCTTATAATTTTTTGAAATATTTAAGAAAGGTATTATTTGAGCTTATGTTTTCTGTATAAAAAAATCTTAGAAATTAATTCACAATCTCCTTCGCCCTGGTCCTTGTAACATATATTTTTTCGTAGTGCATATATGTGCGTGAACGTGGGTCCTTCGCGTCCTGTGTGCTTGTATGTGTGACAGGAAGCCAAACAAAAGCAACATGTGTAACTTGTACGGCCTGCCAAGCGTCAAAAGGCGAGAGGCTGGAAAAATCTATTAGAACGTGTCTCGCCTGCCAACCCGCTGCTTTGAAGATGGAGAGACGGAGAGACGTCTCCCTGGCACCCTTTTGCGGACACAGCAGCCCCTATTTTTCAACCCCAACGCCCCACCCCCCCAGGACCATCTTCCGTTTATATTTCACCCGGGGGCATAATAAGCCTCGCTTTTCCCCTCCCACATCCCATATATTTCATTCTTTTTTCCACGTGCGTGTGTGCCAGGCAGATATTTACTTATGATTGAGTTGCGTGGCGGAGAAAGTGGAAAAAAAATACAAAATAAAATCGTGGAGAAAAAAAGGCAGAGCACGGCAATGGCAACCCTCGAAACAATTTGGTAAGAGATTGCGGTTGCTTTACTGATTTTCTCACCCATTTTGTGTGCGCTTTTCCATGCCCCCCTTGCCGTGTGTGCGAGATGAAAATTTAAATTGATTTTGCATTGTTTGACTGTCATTGTTGTTGCCCTCAGCACTGGGCGGTTGTTGTTTCCCTGTTTTACCGTGGATTTCCACCATTTTCCCCGAAGGTTTTATATATATATATTTTTTTTTGCTTTCCGATAAACGCCGAGTTAAAATATTATAGTTTTCAATTTGTGACTCGTAAACGAATCACTAAAATTGTTTAATGGAGGGATCTAACTTTTAAGCTTTATTTATTGAAATTTATCGGTATGTAAAAATTCTAAAACATATTAAGAGTTTTGAATATTTTAACTGTTTCGAATTATTTAAGAAGTTTTACCTTCATAATAAAATTCTTTTATTGAAGATTCTACTTTGATGCTTTCCAATTGCCTTGTCAAAATCTTTATATATAAACACGTGAGCTATAATGTATATTACTAATATTTTAATGTATATTAATTTAGAAATTCTATTTTTGGGAGTAACCATAAAGTATATAAAAATTTAATATCTTAAAAAACTTTTAAATAATTTTAATTATAACAAGAAGGAAAATAGAAGCTGACTTCAGGAAACCAAAGTTTAGGTTTCATTGTGATAATCATCATAACTGAACCAAAATACATTAAATTCAATTCGGAAAGCTGCTCAATGCCAGTTTTTATTAGGTGAATAAGTCTGCATACTCAATTTAAAATTTTTACGAAATTTTTTTTTAAAATTTTAACGATGTAAACCTCTATAAAATTAAAAATAAAATAAATTTTTGCGGGACTTAGCTATATCGACTTGAATAATAATGCTGATTAATAATATATATAATTTATAAGGTCGGAAATGAATTCTTCACTGCGTTTTATGCTTTTGACTGAAATTATAAGTTATACAAGTTTTTTCCTATAATTTTTCTGATCAGGAATGATCGGCCCGGCCGTTCCGATTTCTATACTAGTGATATTATATAGAAGACTAATTACTAAGTTTCAATTAGATAGCTTCATAATTGAGGAACTAGTTTGATTATAAATAGACAGAGGGACATGGTTAGATTAACTCGGTTATTGATACTGACAGAATATATATATATATTTTAAAGACTTTTTTCTGCTTCTGCTTAAAATTATAATATACTGCAAAAGTATGCAATTTATGGATTAGCTTAGTATATGGATTAGCTTTAGGATATATTATCTTTTCAAGAGACTTTCCCTTGAGCTTTGATCCTGCCTGTCATCCCGATTACCCGTATCTCATTTTCCCCCGCATTTCATGGGCTCTTTGTTTATGTTTTGGCCAGGAATCATTTGTTTTTATATGAAATTGTTTTACGCCATTGCAGCGATCAACCCTTGGCCCTCATTCATCCGCCTCCATCCACTTCTGATTACAACTACATAAGTGAATCTTTGGGGTTTTCCTTTCGTTTCGCTTTTTTTTTCGGGGTGCTGTTTGTTCTTTTGCCTTTCGCTGTTCATACAAATGTTTATCGACTTGTGCGTTGATTTTCCGCTTGCTTTGGTTTTACAACACCAGCAGAATCCCCATCCTTGTGGCTCCTTGGAAGGTCTGGGCGGTGTATCCATGTCAGGCAAGGAGCCAAAGCACGTGCAGTAGTAGGGTTAAGACAAGTAAGAGTGTGTGTGTGTGTGGGGAGTTTGCCGAGGGTTAAGGCTGTTACTTTTGGGCCTATGGATTGGTAATTGAATTTATTGTTTGACATTCAAAGTACCATCGAGTCAATTACGCTGGAAAATTGGTATCAAAATATTTACGAGCTGTTTATTGCATTACGCAAACTCGATGCTGCCTTCCAGGCAATCGAAGGAACTTCCCTTTACCCAAAAAAAAAGGACGAGGACCATGGAGGGTAATGCAATTTACATGTTGATGCCGGGGCCACCAGATAACATATCTGGGGTTGCCGGCCATATATATACATATATAGAGATATATACATATATTGGTTACAGGAAAATTCAGTGGTAGAGGTAAATTGCCGAAGTGTAAATTGCTGCGTCAATTATATTCAGGAAATAATTTCTTCCTTGCCTGCAAAGAAAAATGAAAGGTGTTGTAAAATGTTGATTTAATTGCGTGTGAAAATGATTGCCAAGATTGCTATAATGTTTAAGTTATTATTGATGTAATAATTGACTCCTTACCCTTTTTCAATTGAGCCTCCTTGTTGGCCAATTTGCAGCTAAGTTTGGCCAGCTCCAAATTGGCATTCTCGTATCCTGGCAGTTTTTCCTTGCAGAAATACCCATTGCGGAGCTGCGGCGGAAAATGCTTAAGTATCAGCTCAATGCACTGGGGATGATCGGCCAGACGGAAATAGGCCCTAACCACATGCTTCAGAACACGCGGCTCCACCTCCAGCGTCAGCTGATAGACCACTCTGGCCAGAGTGTGTACCAAATGCATCTTCCTGGCCATCGTATTGCCGACAAAGCTTAGGCCCACTTCATTCTCCAAGATGCGGAACAGGGCGAAGGCGCAGAGCACCTTGCTCATGCTGGAGCCAAATTCCAAGTTATGCAGAACATGCGGCATAAGTTCGGTGCCGAGGAAGTAGATCACAACCTCCTTCTGATCCGATTTCAAAAGACCACAAATGACGCCCAACACGGAGAGGCGCACATGCTCCACGGCACGGGTTTGAGGTGTCAACTTTAGCATCGGCATCAGGTAGCTTATGAACTCGCAGCGAATCAGTAGAAGGGCAATGTTAGGGTCAGAAGCCATGGCCTGAAAGAGTCCTATGGCGGCGCAAATACGCTGTGACTCCTGGATGGTTAGATCGTTGGTCAACACCGATGGATAGATAGACACAATCTGAGGAAGAAATTACATACTTGAGTTTTTTGGGTTCCTTTAGAAGAAGTCACACCACTCACCTCCTGCAGCAGTCCAGCTACAGCTCCAAAGGAGTGCCAGAGCAAATGTCCCAGACTTTCAATTTGGCTGCGTCTCTCGGAGAGCTCCAGCATGGCCACAAGGCGTCCTTCCTGGCTGCACAAATCAGTGATCCATCCATAGATACGTTCCGCCTCCATGCGTTGGTCCATAACAGAGGTTGGGGCATTCATTATTACTTTACCAAATTAATTCCAATAAGCTTGAAATTTGGTTAATTTGGAAAATGAGAGTCAGCGTTGCTTCACTTGACTGTGCTTATTGAGAATTTGTTTAGGTATTTCTTTGTTTTGGGTTATGTAGCCAATAAAAGGATCTAGATAGTGCACTTTAAATTAGTACAAGTGAGATTTTCAAAATCGAATTTCTTACAAATTTTATAGAAAATTCTGCAAATGACAGGTCACGTTTTTATAACAGTGTTGAGAAGCGAAAGTTTTTTAGTAACGATAACTTTTGACCAATCGAATATTAATCGAGGTATTCGTTTTCTTTGTTACTGGCGATTAATTTAAAGTCAAATAACTGCAATATTAATAATATATTCTAATAAAACATAGTTGGATTTGCACACTCTTGAATATATTACTCTGGCGCAACAGGTTATGCCCTTCATATGCCATTTGTCATCTCTCAAACTGAGACATCATCACTGGATCTTACTTCTCGGAACAGTATATCACTTGTGCCGACGGCTTGGACCATCGGATAAACGAGCTGATGAGTTGCAGTTAATTAGAGGGAATGCATCAAACTACCAGGAAAATGTTCCCCTCCCAGAAGCCCCTACATAGAGTTACCCCTCTGCATTATGCATAACAATGAAGAGGCAACAACAACCACACGGACTAAGCCATGCAATTAAATGCAAACAATTTGCCATAATTTATGTGCGGCAACGACGTCACCACGACGAGTCCTAATGCAAAACGGAACCGGAAATCTGTTTCGGTCTTCTGCATGTGTGGCTTCTCTCTCTCTCTCTCCCTCTCTTCCCCTGTGTTTGTGTGTGGTGTTAATTGGCAGAAAGCAACATTATTAGAAGAAAAATCTGCTGACCCGTCGTCATTGGCACTAAATTTGCCTTGCTAATTTTCAATGCAAACACAAAAACTAAAAAAAAAGGAAAAGTTATATAGGAAAGTTAAGCCAGCTGCGTTTATTCCCAAAAACATTTGCATATAGTATAGCCAGCACAATAAACATACATACATATGTATATATTTATTGAATTAAGTGATGCATCTATAATACGCAAATAAACCAAACTGCGTGGACAGCACTTTTTTCTTATCCCCAGCGATCTTTTTGTTTGGTTCTCCGACCTCCCCCGAATTATTAACTGCATTTTCTGGCTAATTAGCCCGGTCAGTCGCAGTTGCACTCCGGATTTCCGGTTGCATTGCCCTTAATCAAAGTATCGCATCGATTTGGCAAATTGCAAATTTCACGCTACGCCAGACAAATTACCGAACTTCGATGGGGAAATTATTAGGAGTACAACAAGTGCTGGAATTGTGTTTATTTATACCCTTTAAAGAATAATATTTTAAACTTTTTGAAATATTTTAAGCTCCACCAATTTTAAAGGAAACTACAAATATGAATCAATTAAAAACAACACAAAAATAGTAGTAAATCTACCTCAAAGGAGTCATCAACGCTAACCTTCAAGATCCTCTCTTAAACCAGTCCAGTAAACGCTCCGCAACCTCTCCAAAAGAACTTTCAGAAAACCATCTTAAAACCCTTTAAATAAAAGCTTCAACACGCTTTAAATATCACTCAAACGCCGTATAAAAACTATACAAAAATAGTTTTAAAAACTTTTTAAGAACACGCAAAGAAAATCCAAACAATCAAAATAGGAGAAGAATCTATCTAAATCCATTAATCAAACCAAATCCTTAATTAATCAAAAATTACATCAAAAAACCCTCCTTTTAACTCCCATAAAGAATTGTAGAAAATGTTATTACTGGATAACATAATTTGTCTCGACCACATATACCTCAATCAAAGCTAATTTAGTGTTCCCCCAGGTAGACACGGGCCACCCACAAGGCTATTAACTGCAGCCGAGTCGAAACCGGTGGCCAAAATTGCATTTCGATGCAATGCACCACAGCATCGGGAGTCACCGTCGGCGCCCTGGCATTTTGTCTAATTTAAATTAATATTATGCCTAGCTGCCAGAGGCATTTGGGCTTTGTCCTCTGGTCCTTTTTGGGCACCACAACCATGGAGGGGGTGATGGCGAAGGGGAAGATAGCAGAACATGGCAGATATGGACATATGGCCATATAGACAGCCCTTTTGGCCATTGTTCGACGGCCACGGCAAATTGAAATTGAAACTGCAACCGGATGTAATTGGGCTTGCATATGTGCGTTACGTTCGCTTCGCTTCGGTCGGAATGGGTTGAGTTTCGTTTAGGTCCTGTGAGTCCTGCTGCCGCCTGATAATATCATTGATAGCTTTTGCCACAATTTGTAACCACAATAAGTTGTTGCTGGTCAAAAAAGGATACTGTGCGAGTGTGGAGAGGGAGTGTGTGTGTGTGTGTGCGGTGAATGGCCACTGGAAATTGGAAATTTTAAGCTGCCTTTATCTGTTGAATGGCTTGTTGATTATTACCGAAGCAGGCAAATGGATTTGCCAGTTACTTCATCTGTGAAAATTAATGAACGAATCCATGCATACACCTACCCAGCAGGTATTGTCTTTAGGCAATTGACCATTGATGTTGCGAACCCAACCCAAGGAAATGGGCTAAGGAAATGGGTTTTTAACCACAAAACGTCCAGTAGAGTTTACTTCCTGAAGTTGACACAAACAATGCACTGGAGTGAGTTTGATTTGTAAAATATAAAGACATTTTTATATATGTTATTAAATAGCTTTCTAGACTTTATTCTGGATACATATTTATAATACAAACTATAAAGTAGTTCCTCAGTTTTGAAAATATCTCAATAAAACATGGCAGTTAGTCTTCAATATACAACTCGCTCTTATATAAGTCGGAACTGGCCAGATAGGACGACTATGTCATATAGCTGCCATAGAAACGCTCAAATATAAAATTATTAATTTTACAGTTTTTAACATATTTTTATGTTATTTGATTTAAACCTATCTTATTTACTATATAATATTGTTTTTAGTTTTATGAAAATCGGAATACCATATAATATTGCTTACAGAGAAACGGTGAACATTAAGTATATACGATCAGTAATCATAAGTAAGTATCAATTAACATTAAGTAAGTATGATCAGCAATTTACTATGAAAAATAAGTAACTCTGAACAGTAAGTATTTATGACCAGTGAGTATCTTTGACCAGTAAGTATCTATGACCAGTAAGTAACTATCAACAGTAGGTATCAATTAACATTAAGTAACTATGATCTGTAAGTAACTATGATCAGCAATTAACTATGAGCAGTAAGTAATTCTGAACAGTAAATATCTTTGACCAGTTCGTAACTATGATCAGTAAGTATATATAACCAGTATGTTTGTATGATCAGTTACTTACTTTGAACACTAATAAACAATGACTTGCAACTTTTGTAACACAACACATTTCTGAGACTTGCCCGGCAGAAGTCACTTCGTTCCGGGGATGTTAGAACCAGTTGAGAATCATTTGCTCACATGTGCGTAAGTAACTATGACCAGTAAGTAACTCTGAACAGTGAGTATCTATGGCCATTAGGTATCTATGACCAGTAAGTATCTATGGCTAGTAAGTAACCCTGATCAGTAAGTATGAATGAACATTAAGTAACTCTGAACAGTATGTATCAATGACCAGTAAGTATCTAAAAGTATGAGTAAGTATCTAAGTATGTAAAGGGGACCATGGCAATAAAGAAATAAATTGGAATATAAAGTGTAGACCTAGGCCTGATCCCACCAACAGCTTTATACATAATATAATAAAAATGGCATGGTTAAGACTTACCGCAGTAAAGGACACGTCATTGCTTACATGCTTCCAGGGTAGTGATCAAGAATCCAAGAGAGCTTCTTCCTGGTCATCCAAATGTTTTATATTGGCCACGTCATATTTTTGAGGTCGAAGGCTGATCACTTGCACTATCACTATCGATGTTAACACTAGGTACCCCTAGGACAGACTGAGGCGCGCGCGACCTCAGCGCCTCTATTTATAGTCCCCGAGGAAAGAGAAGAGAAGAGAAAGTGAGTGTGAGTGCGCGGGAGAGGAGTTGCCTCTAGAGATCAACATAAGGCGATAGCCATAGAGAAAGAGAGGGAGACAGGAGAGACAGTACAGGAGAGGGACAGCTTGCTATTTAATTTAATTATAAGCAATAACTAACTTCGAGCAGTAAGAAACTCTGAACAGTAAGTATCTTTGACCAGTTCGTAACTATGATCAGTGAGTATATATGACCAGTATGTATGTATGATCAGTTACTTACTTTGAACACTAATAAATAATGACTTGCAACTTCGGCGTGCCGAAGTTATCTACCCTTCTAGTTTTCTAATATTTTATATGAAGAAAAATGTATATATATTAAATTTACTAATCAAATAATAATTTTTGCCTCGAATATAAGTAGCACCTTTGCATCTACCAACTTTTTCTTGATTAACTTTTAAAACGGACACTCAGAAAAGCCCCCAAAACACAAAACACACACACAGAAAATTAAAAGCCAAAGGTGGGTTTATTTACAACCTGGTCGGTATTATCCAAAAAGCCAGTTAGAGATGCCAACAAAACACGGCAGCGTTGACAAAACAAAAGCCCGTCGAGGAGAAGTTGCGAGTTGGAAAACTAAAAAGTGTCGCAATTGTTCTGTGACTTGTAGCTGTTTACAATTGTTTAACTTTGGTCAATAATATCACCTGTGCCTGCTGGTCCAGAACTACTACACAAAACTGCATTTAGCGGGGGAAGGGAATGAATAAAAATAAAAATAAAATAAAAATAATAGTACTAAGCGGTAAGGAGACCCACAAGGAGTCTGGAGGAGGCCAAGTGGCAAGTGGCGCGGTAATGCAACAAGTACAAACTGCACGTATTTACCATTTGCTAAGTATTTTCTATGACTTTGTCCCATTGTTTCTTTTCCCCCTCTTTTTTCTCTCTCTGTTGGTGGGGTATTTTTTATATTCTTTTAGAGGTTTACTCGAGCATTAAATAAGTCGAAAACAAAAAGCAGGGAAAGGGAATAGGAATGGGAATGGCTTTGCTGCATTGGCCATGCCCAGCTGCCTGGGAACAATTGTCAACAGTGCGCATTGTTTTGTTTACAACATGAAACTTTTGCGCTTAACTTTGGCTTTGCCAAAGGAGCATTAAAAATAATTTTCCTTACCCAGCTGAGCAATGTGAATGGGGCTACTTTGGCCACCGAACATTGTTTATTTAACATTGGAGT